AAGTTTTTCTTTTGCTTGCTTAGAGATTTTTAAAACTGAGGTGTAGAGCGGTGTCTAAGAAGAGCATGGGGTTAGGGTCTTGGAGGGACCCAGTATAAAACCCAATCCCCACCACCTCCCACTGTTCCACGTAGGCAACCCCTGTTGCCTCTCTCAGCCTCGGTTTCCTCATCTGCAAAAGGGAACCAGGCCTGGGGAGTGTCGGCTGTACTTGTCAAGTGGCTTAGTGATCCTCAAGAGTTTGTGCTATGCTGAGGACTCCAATCAAGTGTGGCTCGGGGAGGATGCAGAAGTCCTGGGGGCAGAGAGGGTGACCCCAAAGCCTAGGGACTGAGGGTGGGGTGGAAAGAGAGAGGACATTCCAAGCAGTGGGAATAGATGGGGACAGATCCTCCAGGCCAGCGACTTGCAGGGCTTTTATTGTAATCAATGGCCCAATGTATGTTTTAGTATGAACCCGTCTGACCAGTTGTGTGACTATAACTGAACCCAGAAGGTCACAAACAGAATCCTTCGTGAGATGCTTGATGCTCATGTTTTTAAATTGCTTCTTGTGACCCTGTAGCCTGATTTCAGACTCCTTCCTGTGTCTCATCTAGTAGGAGCCCCTGCTGGTTCTGGCAACACAGGAGCAGGATGTGTGTGGGTATCTTGGGGGGCAGGAGGATTGAGGGGAGATGGGAGTGGGTCAGAGCCAGCAGAGGCAGCCCTGCCTGGGTAGGAGATGGCTGGACAGGGGCCTAAGAGGAAAAGAGGGGAGCACTGTGCTGAGGTCCAGGTCTTGATCCCTGATGAGCACAGGAAAGCTGCCTAGGTGGGCACCCGCACACCATGGTCAAGTTCCCTCCTGGCCAAGGGTGCAGCATGGGGTCCACAGAGGGGGGTCTGCCACCAGGTGCCTCCACCCAGCCACCAGACAGCAGTGCAGGCAGCCACAGAGTCATAAGAAGAACCGGAAAAGGAAGGAACCAGGTGCCTGCGGATGGCAGGCAGGGTCTTTCTCAACAAGGGGGGCAGAGCCGGCAGGAGGGGAATGAGCAGGAGGAGGCTGGGTTCATCTGTCTCAGACCCCTGTACCCACACTGGGCACCAAAGCCCAGTGCCCACCCCAGGGTCCAGTCGGGCTAGGGTCTGAGGTGGGGGACAAGCCTGGGACAGGGATAGGCCCCCTCAGCTCCTGCAGTCCCCGTGTTGTGATCCTCTCAAGCAGGCAGGTGAGCAGAGCTGGCATCTGACTCCCCTGCCTCCTTCCTGTCCCATGGGGAGAGGCCCCCTGGCCCTGCAGTAGGCACACTGACTTCCTGGCCCCATTGAACCGCACCACACCCCTAAGGTAAGGTTGGCATTGTCCCTTCATGTGATGCAGGGAAACAGTGATGTTCAGAGAAGTAAGGCCTCCCTCGAAAGGCTGCAACAGCCTTTATGTGGCAGAGCCAGCACCCAAGTCTGGGCCTGCTGCCTCAGGGGCCTGGGTTTTCCCCACCCACCTCCTGGCCCCACCCCCATTTCCGGCCAAGCCCAGGCTTCTGAGCAGTCCCTGGAGCTGCAGAGAATGGAGGGGTGGAGGGACGTCAGCGGTGAGATCCTCTGTGAAGTGGGGGTGGTCTGTCCTGCCCAGCTGCGGCATAGGTGCCTGCAGCTAGGTGGGGGTGGGGCAAGGGAGGACTCAGGGACCAACCAGGATACAGCCGAGCTTGGGCAGGGCTGGGCCAGGTCACAGCCCAAAGATTCTTTAACCTTGCTGTCTCAGGCTGGTCCTGCCCCACTACCCTACTTGCCTCTCTGCCACCCCTCAGGCCCCTGTCATTGGGGTGCCCTCTCCTGTCTCTGCCCAGCGCCATCCCATCCTCTTGTACATCTTCTGAGGCCCTGGTCCAGAATGGCTTCTCCTGGACTTGACCTCCAGTGCCCCCCGCCCCGTGCCATTCCCACCTGGGCTGGAAGGAGTAACCGGAAGGGGTACCAGGCTGAGCCAGGCAGGAAGCTCATCCTCACTCCAGCCCTTGAAGCCCCCTGCCTGAGCCTGCCCTTGCCATGCCTCTCGGGCCCTTTGCCCCATATGAAGGCATCACATCTGTTCCTTCTGCACAAGATGCCAAGTGCTGCCCTGCCCAGCCTGCCCAGCCTGAGAGCCCTGGGGCTGGCAGTGTTTGGGGTGGGCTCTGCAGTGCATCTTCATGGGTGGTTCACGGCCCCTGGGTGCCCACTGTGGCTCTGACATTTTGTTGCCGTAGCGCCTGTGTTATAGCCAGACTGGCATTTCCGTGCATGTTCTCACCCTTCTGTCCATGTGCTCCTGGGGCCAGGGCACCAACATCCCCTGCCCCAGCCACCCAGACCGACTTAGTGGTTCCCCCATCAGCCTGCCCACCCTGGAGTCCCTCTGTTCCACATCAGACTTGGGGTCTTGCCAGGGCAGGGGGCCCCTCCAGGCCCAGGGTCAGTTAGGAGGCCCTGTGACCTGACTGGTACTCCCCTTATGTGTTTATGGAAGCCACTGGGAAAAGATTCATGGACTCAGAGCTATGAACCTTAACTGGGGGCTGGACCCCCACAGCCCACACCCCAGAAAGGGCCTTTTAGGGGCACAAGTCCAGGAGAAAGAGCAGGAGCTGGGCAGCTACTGTGGTCGAGGCTCCTGGGTGCTGACTCCTCAGCAAAGGAGGTGACCTGCCCCATCCCCCGTGTCCCCCTTTCTCCATGACTGTGTGCGCTGATGTGCCTGACTGGCTGTTGTTTCTGATAGAGTACAGCAGACATTGCCTCCTCTTCTACCTCTGGGGACAGCAGTTTCATCAGAGGGCAGAGGCTCTGGTTTGGGAGGCCCTCTCCCCGTGTCCAGCTGAGCCAGGGCCTGCATTTCACGATCCTAACCCTCTGACTGTCACACAACAAATCCCAGAAAGCTGTGGAACAATGGATGTCTGTTTTTACAGAGTTCCCCGAGAATGGTGAAGATCAGCTTAAGTGCACTAGCAGATTCCATCATTTTTAGAAGGATACCTCAGATGGGGAGTTTTCAAGACAATTGGATAAATGTCTTCCTGCCTGGACAAACAGGAAGGTGTAATGCTGACTGCACGTCCTCCCAGGGAGGTCCTGGGGAGCAGAGGTCCCTATCAGTTCCCTGGCAAGGCCACTTTCCTGGTGAATTTGTCAGGCTCCAACCCCTATCCCCATGTGGAAACCCTAGACCAGCTGAGCCCAACTCCTGGCAGCCTCGAAGATGGAGGATGTAGATACAAGCCGAGGAGCAGCTGCTGAATCAAGCCTGGGGGGTGGAGGCGTTAGTCATGTGAGGCCACAGGTGGCGGGCTGAAGGTAGAGAGGTCAAGGTGGAGGGGCCCCAGTGGAGGGCACAGAGCGGGAAGGACTCCAGTAGTGTTCATCTCATCCTCTTTTTTTTTTGGTACCAGGGATTGAACTCAGAACCTTTCACTTGGGAGGCAGGCCCCAGAACCACTGAGCTAAATCCTCGGCCCTCATCCTCTTGCTTCTTGTCCTTCTAGCCCACCCAAGATCCTGGGAGATCATACAACAAACCTCCCCCTGCCCTGGGTTCTCTATCCTCCTTGCTACGTCTCACAGGACCTCTGCCCTGAATGACCAAGATACTGTGTTGTTTCGAAGGCACAATCATCCCACAACACAGTCCAGAGATAGAAAGTACAGTGCAATCTCCCTCCCCACCCCCCTTGATCCCTGGCGAGCCCGAGACAGGAGCTTCTTACCGAGGAGGGGCCCCGGATGCCTGCTCAGACCATTCCCAAAGTGAGCCTCGTCACGTTAGTTACAACAAAGCTAACCCCCTGTGACGGTGGACCCACCTGGCAGATTTTTGGACTTTGAAGCCTTCAGATCATTTTGGGGGTGGGGTGGGGGAGGTGTCTCTGTACTGGCTCAACAGGAAACCAGAAATATCAGTCTATGCAGAGCTGTGCAGTGCTAACCAGCGCCAGCCATTTTCATCCCAGACCTGAGTCCCCAGAAGGCCCAGCCTCCCCTGGGGCCCCTTCCCTAGAATCCAGCTCAGAGCTGAGCTGAAGGAACTGAGAAAAGACCAGCCTGGCCTCGTGCCAGCCCACACCTCAGGCAGGAGGCCCACGCCTCACTTTCTCCAGCAAAATAAATCTTGGGGCTCCCTCTGAGCGTCTCAAACGTCCGATCTTCTCCTGATTAACACACGGCCTGCATGTTCTTAGCTGGCTGCTGCTGACCTCAATTTAAAACTCTGCGCTGTTCCGCTCAGCTGCCAGGGAAAGACAGGCCTGGGAGGCAGGCACGAAGGAAGCCCAGGGGTCTGTGTAGCCCAGATCAGACACGGCGGCTTCGGACCCGAGCCCCCAGCCCAGGATCTGAACAGCATCCCAAGAGCCTGTGGGTCCCAGCCAGGCCAGGCTGCTGCTTTGGAGATTTCCAAACTGTGTCCTGGAGGTGAGGGTGTCCCCTGTGGAATGGCTTTGCCGTGGATACTGAGGTCCACAGCCGAAGCCCAAATGGGCAACATGGGACACTTCCGCCTCAGTGGAAAACGGCCCCCAGGGAATTGCTCGTTATGCTGCGCAGAAAGTTGACAAATGTTCTCTGAGTTAACATTCGGGAAAGGTTTGTCTTGCTGCTTTGGCGCGGGGAGAGCAGTGGGAAGCCCTGCTTCTTTGCCTTGTTCTCCTGCCTCTGTCTTCTCCTTCTCCTGCAGCTTTTGGTCTTCCCCGTGCCTCCGGGAAGAAGGAGCTTGGAGCTCAGGCTCTCTCCCAGCCTGGGGTGGGGTCGCAACTCCATTCTGTCCCTGCCCAGGGATCCAAGGATTGGGAGCTGGTGGCCTGACCTCTCTGCTGCTTGGGCTCTTCCTTTGGAGATCTCACTCTCGCCTGGCCTCCGGGTGCCCGAGGAGGGTGACGTCTCAAGTGGAAAATGGTTGACCTGAGGCTAGAGCACAGGGAAGCAGGTGGGGGTGAGGCGGCCTCTGGTAACCTGTTTCTCTCTCCCGTTGTCTCGTTCAGGAGGGCAGTCAGTGAGCCACACCGGCCCTGCCATCCTGGTCTCCCTGGCCAACATGACCGTCCCCTTCAGCTGCAGAATTACCTACCCTTACACCCCAGAATTCAAGGATTTCACCGTCAGCTACTTCCACGTGGATCTCCAGGGCCAGAAGAGCCCGGAAAAGCAAAAGGCCTGCCACCCGGGCCAGGGCACAGAGAACAAGACCTATACCTTGAAATGCCTGATCAATCCCAGGCTACCGGATGCGTCAGCCACTGGCACCTACTACTGCTGTGTTCATTGGCAAAGCATCATAGTGAAGGACGGAGGCACCTTCATCCTGGTCAGAGGTGAGACCTCCCCTGGGCTCTTCCAAGGGTGCAGGACCCTCAGGTTCACCCTGCAGTGTGGGGGTGCGAGATCTGAAGTGCAGACTGGTTGACCTTGTGGATCACAGCATGCTGGGGAGCCCCCACCTGGCAGGGCCTGGAATGTGGATCTATTTGACACCTCGGGCAGTGGCCTCAGAAGTCACTTGGCCCCTTCACCTTGGGGTCCCATTGACACTGTTGGGAAGGGGCCTGGAGCCTCTGGAGAATCTGTGTGTGTGTGTGTGTGTGTGTGTGTGTGTGTGTGAGACCCTGAGATTTAAGAACCAGCACCTCCCCAAAGCCATGATTCTCTGACCTGCCTCTCGGATTCCCTTGGAAGGGGCTGTGGGCTTTGAAATCCCACAGACCTGGGTTGGAATCCAGTCCCACTGCCTGCCCAGTGTGACCTTGGGCCTGGTCTTCCAGAAGTGACACCCACATGCAAGGGTGGTGTCCTGCTGCCAATGCATCATGCTAGTGTGCCTACCCCTTGGTCTGCACACCATGAATTGATTTTTGTTTTGTTTTTCTTTTATGATATTGGGGGTGGAGCCCAGGGGCTTTGCACAGAGCTACAACCCCAGCCCCTTTTTATTTATTTATTTATTTATTTGCCCCTTTTTATTTTGTGAGATAGGATCTCACTGAGTTGTTAAGCTGCCCAGGCTGGGCTCCAACTTGTGACCCTCCTGCCTCTGCCTCCCAGAGAGCCGGGATCACAGGTGTGCACCACACCCAACTCCATAAATTCTTGCCAGGGGGTCGGAGGAGGGAAGGGAAGAATGGATGTGGGAAGAGGAAAAGGAGAGGTGGGGTGCTCGACTACCCGTGGTGCAAGCTCCTGTCAGTCCGCATGCAAACTTGTCACCTCTGACTGTCACCACACTTGCCCACGTTGTCACCATTTCAAATGGTGGGAAGGGAAGGCCCCAGAGACGATGCGACTCAGCCAGGGTCCTCCTAGCAGCCCTCAGTGAAGCCAGTTCACTGAGGCAGGAGCAGTCATAGTCCTTGTCCATCAAGAGAGTCAAGGCACTCAACATACACAGGAGGTTTAACAAAGTAAGTTAAGTACACGAACCTGCTGGGGCATGCCTATAATCTCAGCTACTTGGGTGGCTGAGGCAGGAGGATCACAGGCTTGAGTCCTGCCTGGGTGACTTAGCAAGACCGAGTCTCAAAATAAAATGTACAGAGGTTGAGGATGTAGCTCAGTTTTTGAGCACTTCGGGTTTCATCCCCAGGAAAGGAAAAAGACTGAGGACCTGAGGTGCAGCTGGGGCATCCAGCCTGGTGCAGGGCCTTGGGGGAGAAGGTTGGAAATTGGGTCCCAGGTGAAGGGTAACAAAGGGCTTTGGGGTCTGGAGGTCAGTGGGGCTAAGTAGTTCCTGGCTTCTCCTGGGAACTAAGCTCTGCTTCCCTGTCCCCTCCCCTAGACACAGGATACCAACACCCACCGCCGAGCTCCCGGAAGCCCCTGCTCTGTGGCTTCACTGGCCTCCTGGCTGTCCTGAGTGTGCTGGGCACAGCTCTGCTGCTCTGGAAGAAGGTACGGGACAGTCACGCACAGTAGAGATGCGGCAGCAACGTGGCCTTCACCCAAACCAGGCCTGGGAGGCCTCACGGGTGGGGCACCCACCTGCCCACAGGGATCCTGGGCCCTGCAGGAGGTGTCCCTCACGGACAGGGCTGAGAGCACTCCCTGGCCCAGTCCCTCCCACTCTGTGCCTGCCCCCCAAGCTCCCGTGGTGGGACCTGAACCACCAGGTCCCTTTCTATCTTTCTTTTCCCCCCAGTAGTAGGGATTGAACCAGGGCCTTTGCATTGAGCTATATCCCAGCCCTTTTTACTTTTTATTTTGAAACAGTGTCTCACCCAGACTGCCTCAGCCTTCCAGAGTGCTGGGATTACAGGTGTGCACCACCACGCCCAGCTCCCTTCTTATCTTATTGTTAGAAACAGCTCCATTGGGTAGTGAGTCCCTCTGAGAATCTGAGGGCGGATGCAGGCCCTCATGCTCACCATTTCGAGCCCAGCAACCCGGAAGGGAAGAACAGCTCTGGAGACACAGCATGCCCAGCACCCTTCAACACGCTCCCCCCGTTCCCCTCTGTAGCTCTGTGAGGACCTCCTTCCCGTCTCAAAGCTCCAGAAAGCAAGGCTCAAAGAGGTCGTGACTTGGCCAAGGTCACATAGAAAGCAGTGGAGTCAGGGCTGGAGTATGAGTGGAGGGCAGGTTGCTCTGGCTCATTCTGTGCATGGCACCTCCCCCGAGCAGAGGTGTTCCCCCTGGAGCTCCCTGCATCCTCATTGCCACCCAGACTCTGGTTTCCTGTTCCATACCTGACTCTGGTTGTTCCCTGTGGCAGCCCCAGCTTCTAGCACAGGGCCCTGCACATAGTAGCCCCTCCATAAGTACTTACCGAAGGGCTTATAATCTGCAGGGCCCTTTCACGGTCATGATTAAATCAGTGTATTCATTCCTTGAATTAGTTGAGCACCTACTATGTGCCAGGTCTAGTGCTAGAGACCAGGAAGCCAGAGGGCACCTAGCAGACTAAATCTACAGGCTACTGGGACAGTCGCCTGGTAACCAGTTGGGAGAAGTTCCCTGTGCAAGGAGGTCGCAGACAATAGAGGGTTCAGAACTCAGTCTCAGAGCCTGTGTCCACATTCAGCTTGTGCCACTTGCCAGTTCTGTGAGCTCCAACAGGATGCCTAACTCCTCCCTGCCTCAGTTTCCCCAGTGAGGTGCCAAGCACAGGAGCTACAGTACGGGTTTGCGGTAGGAGTGTGGCTTCCAGGCTCTGTGAGTACTGGGCCTGGTCACCTTCCCGGGCAGCAGTAGTGCCATGACTCCTGGCGTGACAGCAGGTGTGAGGGTTGCACCTGGCTTGAGGGGTCGAGGTGGTCCTGGCACACCCTGGGCTCCTTCCCTAGAGCTCTTCTCTGTTCCTGGGGTTCACTTCTGGGGTGACTGAGCTGTGGAGGAGGGCTGTATCCCCATGTGTTGAGAATGTGGCCCAGACCCCTCCCCAGGCTCAGCCCAAGTCTGCTGTGAGGTGAGGCCTCGACGTGGGACCAGGGGCTGTCACCATCTAATGTGTCCAGAGCAGCACTCTGGGCCCCAAGTCTCTACATCTTGGCAAACAGCCTCAGGTGCCAGGAGCCCAGGGCCCAGGCCATGGAGCTTGGAGCTGATCTCACCTGTGCATCCAGCCCTCAGCGAGTCCCACCCCAGTCTGTCTGGATCCAGCCTCTCCCCCCAGCCCAGCCTGGGCTCCCCCATGTGCTTCTGGGGTCCTGGTCTCTGCCACCCTCCTGGGCTCCTGCAAATATGCTGTCCTCCCATCAGAGCGCAGCTCCTGCAGGGCAGGGACTGGCTGACCACAGTGGCCGGGGGAGCCCAGCATATAGCAGGGACACAGGCACAGTGATAGCAGAAAGCCAAGTTGTACATAGTCAGGGCATGTGAGAGGCAAGGCAACCTGTCACTTCTATTTTGAAGAGGGGGAAACTGAGGCTCAGTAGGCTTCCTGGGCTATTGACAGCAGGACCTTGGTGTGGAGCACTGGGTCCTGGGCCAGGCCTGGTGGCCCTAACCACTACCTACTGCCAAGGGGGACACTCGAGGGCCGGGGATCTAGTTCAGTGGTTCCGGTGCCTGCCTCACAAGTGCAAGGTCCTGAGTTCGATCTCCGGTACCAAAATAAACCAAAAAAACAAAAAAACCCAAGGGGGACGCTCAAGCAATAGAGCATCGCCACACCGCCCCCAGTGAGGAGACATGGCCCCCTGTTTTCAAGGGAGCTCCCTCTGCCCGGCAGGACCTAGCCCAGGCTGCTCAGCCCCCACAGGATGGGCTCCTGTCGGGAGACCCCTGCCTTGTCCCCCAGTGCCCAGCCTCCAATCCACCCGCAGGCAGCACAGAGAGCCTTGGAAAGTCCAAACCTGTCCTCTTCCCTGCCCTGCTTGCCCCACTCCCACCAAGTACAAATACTGTGTGCCCTTGACCTTTTGGGGCCCCACCTTCAGCCCCCTGGGTCAGCCACGGCCTGCAAGCTCACACTCTGTGGCCTGGGTGGTGTCCCTGGCGGCTGGCTCAGAGGCCCCTGACTGTAACAGTGCCTTCCAGGTGGCACAGGGACCTGGCACCGGATTTGAGGACCAGGCATCTGGGATAGCTTCAAGGGCAGCCATTTATCAGCTGGACAAGCCTCAGTCCCACTTCTGTTCAATGCCCGCCTCCTTGGGGTGTTAGGAGAATAAAATGGAAACAAGGACAAGTCGGGGGAGGGGGGTCTTAGTAAACTGTAAAGTGTGCCCCAGATGCTGGCTCCTACCTCTGTCTGTGAGACCTATACACTGCAACAAAATGGAGGAGTGGTATTGTCAGCTAGCATACTGGGTTCAAATCCTGCCTCTGCCACTTCCTGGCTGTGCAGCTTCACGAGTTTCCGATCCCCTCCGAGCCTTCACTTCCTTGTGTGGGGAACTGAGCCGATCTGAGGACTTGTCTGCAGGTTTCCCGAGGGACACAGAGATAAAGCAGAGCCCTGCCTGGCCTTGTGCTCCCAACAGTCAGATCCTGTGACCCGGGCGGCACTGGCTTCTGCCTGTGAGTTAAGTAGCTCTCGAGAGCTAATCCTGGAGTAAATGGGCTGGGGATTGGCGGGTGGCCAGGGATTTTAATTAGCTCCTGCCCTGAGATGAGACCGTTGTTGCTCTACCGCTGGCAGCGTGGAGCCTGCGGTGAGGGGGACGTCCAGTCTGCCTCCCTCAGTGTCTTCAACTGTCGCCCCAGCCCTGTGCCTTCCTGGCTGGCTGCCCCAGCCTTGGCTTCCGTTAGCATCTCAGCCGCAGGAAACGATGGTCCCTGCCGTCCACCATACTCACAGTGCTGGACAGTGTCCCCTCTTCCTGGTGCCTGGCTAACAGAGGTGCCAACAAGCGTGTGTGGGTGACAGACTGCTCCCCCGGTGCCATGGGAGTGCCAGCCAACTACTGCCTGGGCCCTATGCTGGAGACACTGAGGCCAGGAGAGTGGTTAACTCCAGTCCAGAGCCAGCAAGGGGCACAGTGGGACCCCAGCCTTGGCTCAGGCCAGGGCCCTGCCACACTGGCCTCTCTGAGCCATGTGCTTTGCCCACAACAGTGCCCGTGTGGGCTGTTGTCCTTTCTTCTGGTTCCAGGCACATGGGTGGCTTGATCAGGTCTTGGAGCCATTTCCCACCTCTCCCCAGAGGGCTGGCTGGAGTGATTTACTTCTGTGTGGCCTCAGGAAAAATCCAAATCCACCATCATTTCCTCTGGTGGGGCCCATGAAGGAAGGGAAACCAGGGGACCACACGTCAACAGCCCCGACAGCCCTGGCTCCTTTCTCCTGACAGAAACAAAAGCTAGTTCCAAGGAAGCATCCCACCCAGTCGTGCCCAGACCCAAGATGTGCCAGCCAACCCTCGCAGCCCACTGCAGAATCTGTCTACACGGTGAGTCCCAGGGCCTGGGCTCTGCCACCTCTCCAGGCCTACATCAGGCTCTGATTCCCTTGCTCAGTCTGTACCCACTGTGGCACCTGTCTGAGCCTCAGTTTGCTCATCTGTAAAGTGGGCAAAATTATTCCTACCTTGTGGAATTTCCGTAACGGTGAAAGGAGAGCCCACATGTGGGGACCCTGGTATTAGGTGCACATATGTGGGGAGCCACCCTGCCCCCTCTCTGGCACACCCTTTCCCTTCTGGAACAAGGGGGCAGCAAGGGCGAGGGTCGGTAAGGAAAGAACAAATTTCCTCATCTGACCAAATGACGTCGACCTGCCTGCCAGCTTCTTCCTGTTATTATTGCACAAACATCACAGCTGCAACAACAGCAATCACTGAAAGAAAGAAAGGGCAGACGCCACTCTACACCCTTGACAGCTATGATTTTCAGTTGTTGGCACTGTGTTCCCCCACCACATGCAGACACTGCCTTACGTCCTTAGAGTCACGAGCCTTGGACCCTGTTTATCCCACACCTTGTTGTTTCGCAAGCAGTCTTCATAATTAGGTGGAGAAGGAACAGGAGGCTCTGCCCACCCTGCCTACCCATGGCCAGCACAGGCCTGTCTGTCCAGTGGCTGTGGCCAGAGGCTGAGGAATGTCCTTGTCCAGTGACATATGCCTTTCGGCACTACGAGTAACATGTTCGCTCGCTGCAGGGAGACTGAAGGGTAAGTACCACCCTGTGTCAGTGGGATCTCAGTCCCATGAGACACAGAGCCACTGGCCTGGGCTCCTGACCCCTCCACAGGGGTCCCACAGGCTTCCCGGTGCCACCATTCCTGTCCCCACCACCCAGATGCACACAGGAGACTTAGGGACCCCACAAAAGCAGGTCCAGAATCTGGCCCTGTGTGCTGAGGAGGGGCGGTGGTGTGGCTGAGGGACTGTCCCCACGGGGCAGTGCCCACGGCTCCAGGGAGAGCAGGACAGCTCAGAGAGGGCCCTTAGTCTCCCCTCCCCAGGGAATCGGCGCTGCTGCTGCTTCCTGCGGGCCTCACTTCCCCAAACCGGCTCCCCTCTCCCAGCAACTCATGCCACTTTCCCTGGGAGCGATTCTGGTATCAGCTGTTAGATGGATCTCTCTTTCTCTCTCCACACAATACACAGACATACATAACAACTCACATCGTCATATTCCCATCTTCTTCCAGGATAAATACTAAAAATGTCGACTTCTATACCTTCTCATCTTTTTTCTATAAATACATGGAAGTGAGCGGTATGTGCACACCGTATTTATTTTGGAGAGACCCCAGGGCCGCACCGGTGCTAGGCGCACACACCACCACTGAGCTGCACCCCAGCCCCCCTACTTTTGAAAAATTACAGTCGCACAGCTGTTTTTTCGTGTTACAATATTCCATGAACGTTTTTCCACGTGAATAGCCTTCTATGAGATTTTTTTTAATGGAAGAGACTTATTTTTGCCTGAGCGACTTTCTTGCCCTTGTGTGGCAGCCTCTGGGGCTGAGGGTGACTTCTCCAGAGGGTCACAAAGAGGTCCAGCAGCCTGCAGGGGACACAGGTGGCCCAGGGAGGTCTTAGGACCAGAGGGGTGGCAATGGGAGGCCTCAGGACTTTGCTGACCCTTGAGGCAAGGTCTACAGGTTGGGGCTGTTTCTGGACAGAGACAAGCACCAGTAGTGACAGTGATAAAGGCACCAGTGACAATGGGGCCCCACTGTGCAGGTGGCTCTGTGTAGGACATCTCATCCTTAGCTCACTGGTGCTCTTGGTAAGGTGTTAGGTGCAGGTGTTGTCCCTGTTTTCATGTTGTTTTCTACGCATTGATTACTGGCACATAGAGATATGGTTGATTTTTATGTACTGGCATTATATAGAGTGATCTTGCCAAATTCACTCATTAATTCTGACAGTTTCTCTGTAAATACCTTTGGGTTTTCTATGAGCTTAGTTGTGTCATTTATGACGATGGAAGTTTCACTTTTTCCTTTCCCTAATCGTCCTTTTGTTTAAAACTCCCACCATCCCTTCCTTCCTTTCCTGGTTAATTGCACTGGCTAAGACTTCCAGTGTGATGATGAACAGGATGAACAGGGGTGATGATGGGGCAGCTTTGTGTTGTTCAGAAACTCTGGGGAAGGCGTGTGTGTGTGTGTGTGTGTGTGTGTGTGTGTGTGTGTATTCTTCCTTCTACTTTCTTTGTATAGATATTTAAATAGTTTTCTTTTTTCCTCTCATTTTTTTTCCAGTACTAGGTATTGAACCCAAGGCCTTCACTCTGAGCTCCATCTCCAGGCCTTATTTTTCTTTTTGGTACTGAGGATTGAACTCAGAACCTTGTGCTTTCAAGGAAGGTGGTGGAACCACTGAGCTGAATCCCTGGTCCTCCAGCCCTTTTTTATTTTGAAATGGGTTTTACCTGTGGTCCTCCTGCCTCAGCCTCCCATAGTGCTGGGATTACACATGGGTGTCACCCCACCCAACTATCTTTTTTTTTTTTTGTACAGGTCCTTCCACTTTTGAGGTAGGCGTCTGAACCACTGAGCTAAATCCCTGGCCTTCAATTGTTGTTTGTGAGACAGGGTCTTGTTATGTAGCCCAGGCTGGCCTTGAACTTTTGATCCTCCTGCCTCAGCCTCCTGAATGCTGGTATTGTAAGCATCCACCATTATGCCTGGCTTCCATTTATGTTATGAACTTCTCTTTAAATATGGCTTTAGCTACATTCCATGAGGGGTGTGTGTGTGTGTGTGTGTGTGTGTGTTGCTAGGAATCAAACCCAAGGCCCGGCATGTGCTAGCCTGGTATGATTTTTTATTTTGTATTCTCATTATCTTTTAGTCTAAATGTCCATGGAGGATTCTTTCTTGTCTCATTGGTTATTTTAAAATCTTTTGCTTAATTTTTGAATTTTTAATTGTTTTCTAGTTATTATTCTATTTTTTATTTCTGGCTACTTCTGTCAAGATCATATATTTTAATCCTTTTAAATATTTTGAGACTTACTTTGCGGCTCAGCTCATATTCTGTGTGCACTTGAAACAAACTTGTGTGTCCCATATGTCAATTAGGTCAAGTATGTTGATCATAGCTGGGTGTGGTGGCACACACCTGTGATCCTAATGCTCTGGGAGGCTGAGGCAGGAGGGTCACAAATTGAAGCCCAGATTGGGCAGCTCTGTGAGACCTTATCTCACCTGATCTTAGCCAGAAGGCCAAGAAGCATATGTGAGACTTTATCTCAAAGTTAAAATAAATAAATAAAAAGGACTGGTAAGTAGCTCAGTGGAAATGCCTTGGGTTCAATCTCCAGTACTGAAAAAAGAAAAAAAAAGTTGCTTATGTTGTTCAAATATTCCATATCCTTATTGATCCTGATTGATATTTGTCTGTTTTATCAGCTGTTAAGAGAAGTGAGCTATCTGCCTGTACGATTGTAGGTTTATATATTTCTCCTTTTAAATGTGTTATATGGAAAAGTGTTCGATATTGTGTAACATAAAGAAGGAAAAAAAAGAACTATGCTACCCCAATTTGGTTTTAAAAACAAGGCCTAGGGCCGGGGATTTAGCTCAGTGGTTTCGCAGCCTGCTGTGCAAGTGCAAGGACCTGAGTTCGATCTCCGGTACCAAAAAAACCCAAAAAACAAAAAAACAAGGCCTAGGAAGACTCTGGATTTAGAGTGGGTCAGAGAGATTAGAGAGCAAAGCCTTGTACTTTTGCTCGCTGGTTCTGTTACTTGTACTATCTGAGTCTTGGTTCCACAATGTCTGAAATGAGGATGGTGATACAATACTGCACTCGTAGCTTGCCAACAGGCTATGACCTCTGTTCTGTTTTTGTTTTGTTTGTTTGTTTTTGGTACCAGGGATCGAACTCAGGTCCTTGTGCTTGCACAGCAGGCATCGAAACCACTGAGCTAAATCCCCCGGCCTCTGTTCTGGTTTTGTTTGTTTGTTTTGGTGGTACTAGAGATAGAACCCGGGCCTTCACCCTGAGCTAGGTCCCAGGCCTTTTTTATTTTTAAATTTTGAGACAGGGTCTTGCTAAATCACTAAATTGCATGGACTGAGCTCCAATTTGGGACCCTCCTGCCTCAGCCTCCCAGAGTACTGGGATTATAGTCATAGCCACCATGCCCAGCTCCTTAAATTTCTTATCTTTTGAGCCGCCCCACCCGCCCCAGCTGCTTCCTTTTTGTCCGAGATTCCCACTAAAAGAACTCCTCCGAGAGTCATCCAAATTCTCGCTTGCTTTCACTGTGTCTCTCCCTCCCCGTCCTGGTCCTGGCCCTCTCAGGGAGGCCTTCAGCCGCCTCTCCTCTAGCAGGGTCACGCATAGCGCCAGTGTTGAATCCAACGCGCAGTTCTTGGTCCTCACCGTCCCGGATGGATCAGCGGCATCTGACCCGCCCCCAACAACCTTCCTCCTTGTTACCGGCTCCGACTCACTGCCGCACCTCCTCTGCCCCCATTCACGGTTCCTCCTCAAGAACTGTGGAACCCGGACCTTTAAACACTGTAGTCAACGTGGACTGGGGGGCGGGGCACGGCTGGGAAACCCCTCTCTTTATCTACACGCTCCTCCCGGCTGACCACATTGGGCCTCCGGTTTCTGAATGTCGCCCACATCCTGGACCATCCCCACGTTTCCGCAGAGGTCACTGAACAGCAGACCCACTTCTGCTTGGATTCCGAATCGGCTTCTCTGGTCAGACTGCAGCTCTTTTCCGGCTGAGCACCTCTCCCCATCGCTGCCCTCACTGTAAAAAAGGGTGACTCAGATACTCAGGCTGAACGTTTTGAGGCTGTCTTTTCCTTGCCTCTTTCCATCATCGCCTAGATCTGATCGATCAGCAAGCCTTGCTCCAGAACCGGCCCAAAATCCGGTTCTCCTGCTCCCTGCCCGATCTCTTGCCTGGGCTGCCTTATCGGTGGGCCTGTTTTTACTCCATCCCTCTCTGTAGCCAGAGCGACCCACTGAGTCACTAACCCACCCTGCCCCTCTGCTTAGACCCTTTGGTGTGGCAAAGGCCTCTTGGGGCTATGAAGGAGTAGAGCAGCAGTGACCTCATGAGAGAAGCCCCCTCTCCGCCCCAAAGATGGGGAGAAAGGCCGTGGCACCTGGAAGAGGGGTCGCTGGGGCTCAGGTCTGCTCACCAGGGAAGGTGGGCAGGAGGGCTTGTGAGGCCCCTGGGATGCCCAAGTCACAGATGTGATGGGTTTCAGAGCCCAGCAGGGGACCCTTAGTCCATTCCCAACTGCAGCTGGGTCTGTGACATGATTCTCAGGACCACCACTGATGGCCCTTTGGGGATTCCCGGCTCCCCAGAGTCACAGCCTCTGGGGGAAGCCATCGCATGTGCTGCTTCCTGAACATACCAGGGTACCCGCTGCTGTCCTCCTGGGGTTCCCCTGCTCGGGAAGCTTCTCTGGGGCTGCCCTGCTGAGACCCTGTTCCTCCTGCCCTCGGACAGGCCCTTCCAGCCCCCTCTCCCACTCAGCCTCCTGTCATCCTTCCCCACTCTCTCCACGGCCGTCACAGCCACCTTTGGCTTAGGTGATCATTGTCCATCTCAAGCCCCTTCTCCCCCACACCAGCTGGGGCCAGCACTGTTCTTACTTCTAGGGTTTCCTGGGTTCCATGGAGCCTCATGCAGGGCGGAGGGGACACCGGTGGCAAATGTGGGCTGTCAGCACTGTGCTTTGCAGTCTCTCAGCCGTGTCCAGACGCCTCCATGAGTTTTACTCCCCGCCTCCTCCTGGCCCTGTGTCCCCATTCTTGCTGTTACAAGCAGCAGGCGGAGAGACCTTTCTAAGGCACAACTGTGATTCAGTGGTGACCTAGAGCCAGGTTCTCCTCTCCTGTGAGACTACTGCTTTCTAGCCAGCATCCCAGATCTCACCCATAGCCCCCAGTGCCAGGACCTTCAGATTAGGCTCAGGCCCAGGGAGTGACTTTGTGCAGCCCTCAGCCCACCTGGAGGACGCCCTTGGCACTGCCTTCACGCACTTGCTGGGCTGACAACAAATTGGGTCAGCGTGGTTACTCACGGGGCAGCAGCAGGCAGGAGGGCTTGCAGGACCTGGATCTCAAACACCACTGCCGTGCAGAGCCAGGCCAGCCCAGCACAGCCCAGGACAACCCTAGCTGGGACCAGCACAGCCCTGGGGTATCATAGCCTGGCCAGCTTGGCTGCCACAACCCTGAGGCCAGCAGTCTTCCCCAGCAGGCACAGCCAGGGAAGGCTGGAACAAGGCTGCGCCCAGCATTTCCCTGCCTGCTGCTTTGGGTCACACCCTGAATACAAATGCAGCCCACAGGTCAGAGCTTGTCAAAGGCTTCACGCTGCAGCTGCTAAGCGGTGGCCTTCTCTGTGGCCTGGCCTGGCCTCAGCTCCACAGCTGCTCCTGCCCAGTCACTGTGTAAGCCCCACCCGCACTCCCTGTGGGTCCAGGGCCTGTGGGGTGCTCTTCTCTGGCTCTGTTAGTCCAGGTGTGCTGGGTGTGGGGCAGAGGGATCTACCTGTGGGACCCCAGGTCTCCCTTTCAGCTGAGATGTGGCAAGGGGGCTCTCCCTGTCACCCCTCTGTGACCGGAAACATCCAGCTCAGTGCAGCCATCAATTCTGTGAGATGCCAGAAGGTCTGGGGGCTGCTCTGACAGAGTGGCTGAAGAGCATGGTCTGTCTGTCCTTGTGCCACGGGAGGCTAGTGCCCTGCAGGGGCGGGGGGGGGCACAAAGACCTGCACAGGTGGAGAAAAGCTTGCAAGTTTCCTTCCCCTGGAAATACAGCTCCTCCTTGGGGAGGGGGCCAGTTGGAAGCCCCTCTCCCAACACCCTGCTCTTGCTGGCTCAGAGACCTCTTGAACGGGACCCCAAGGGAGCTCCGTCATCCCTGTGTCTGATGCCCTTGAAGTGAGGGTCTCCCAAGCGCCAAACGGTTTATTACACAGATTTTCATGCCCGGCTGCCTCGCATGCCTCCCTCCCTCCTCCCCCTGCTCCCCACCCTCCTCTTGCCTCTGAGCACCACCTGTCTCTCCAGCCTGCCTTGGCAACCCCTGCTTGACTGTTGCCAGGGAAACTGCCTCCTTGGCAACGAGCCAGCATCTGTATGACACATACATGGCAAGGCAAGGCTTCTGCCTCTTGCTTAGGCTGTTGTTCGGTTCTGCTCTGGAGCCCAGTGGGGTCTGAGGGTGAGTCCAGGCTTCGGCTGCAGAAGGAGGGTGCAGCATTTTGTCTTCTTTGATGTTCATTCAGAAGCTGCTTATTAAGCACCTACTGTTTGCCTAACTCTCTGTGCAGGGCCCTTTAGGTACAGTATCTCATTTGATCCTGGATCAAAGCCTGCAAAATACATGCGATCATTCCCATTGTATAGTTGGGGAAACTGAGGCAGAGAGAAATTAAGGGGTTGCCATGGGGGGCAGATATCACAGCCAAGAGTTGAACCTAGTCATATTTGACTTCAGAGCCTTGGTTTTTCTTACTCCTGTCAGGTCTCTTCAGTGGGCCCTAGGACACACACAAGTGAGGGAGGTGTCACCTTACCATGGCTCATCTGGTGCCCCTCTTGCTGTGCTAAGACCAGCAGTATGCTCAGGAACCCAGAGACTAACCAGGCACATCCCTGCCCTCAGGGGGCTCCCACAGTCCAGGGGGAGGCTATGGGGCACATGCTTCATCATGATAGCCCCCAGCCCAGGCTGAGTTCACCATTCCCTGGGGCTTCTTGGAAGGATGCCTGGATTGTGCGGGGCTGTGGTTGCTTGAATTCCCAAGGAGAAGCATCTGGGACTGACCAGAGCCCAGGCATGGAGGGAAGGGGGCGCCCTGAGAGCCAGGGCGGGGCTGCAGAGGCCTCTCAGCAGGGTATAAGCTTGATGGACAGGAGGTAACTCCAGTGGGTGCCTAGGTCACCTGTGAGCCTGGAACAGTTTGTGGGGAGGGTCCTAGAGGGTGTGGGTGAGTGGGGAGGACCCTCATAGGGGCCGGAGTTTTGATCCAGGAGCAAGGGTGGATGGCAGCAGTGGCTGTGGGTACCAGGCAGGGTTGGGACAAGCAGGAAGGCTGGGAGCCCCTTCATGACCTGCCCCTGCCTGGGCACTGTGTCTCCTGCAGGCCCTGCAGCGCCGGGAGACCGAAGTCTACGCCTACATCGAGAGCGAGGCAGACAGCCCGCTCCCCGCCCAGAGTCCTCCCTCCCAGGTACACAGGGCTTGGGGACCAGAGCCTGGCTCCTGGACTATAAACTGAGGCCCCAAGATAGGCCCCGCACCATAGTTGGGTGTGAGGACAACCTTTTGGGTCACCCAGCACACACAGTGTGGCAATTACAACTCCCAGTGGTGTGCACAGCACACTGTCTATCCTGGCCAGTCAGGCTGGTGCTGGAGGAAGTGGGAGCTGGCATCCGAGCTGCTGCCCACTAGAGCAGCCTAGTCAGGGTTCTGCAACCACCATTTGAGGGCCCGAGGCCTGCTATCTAGTCACCTGTTCTCTCTCAAACCTCAGTTTGCTCCTCAGTAAAGTGGGTGAGTAATGTCTGCCTGCAATGCTGTGCACCCTAGAATGCAAAGGAGCAATATCTGCACCAGAGCATTGAACCCCACACAGGATAAAGTAGTGTTAAGCCCTGAAAGGTGGGAGGCACAGGGCCTGGTTCCCGACCCCCCAGCCCAGTCTGAGACTACTAGTTGAGTCTCCTATTCTCAGTGTTCTGACTGGATCAGGGCCTCCCACCCTGGAACCCTGAGGATGTCTGGGACATCCTAGGCAGCACCCACCCTGGGCCAGGCTTCGGGGTGCTGGATAGGAAACTGAGGCAGGGCTCTGCCCTCTGGGAGCCTTGGTCTGCAGGAAAAGGGTGGTGACCCCAAGGACACAGAGATGTTTGTAGCCCGAGTGCAAGGGCTGGACTCCAGGGAAGGGCCAGGCCAGTGCTGCAGGGAGGCAGGGCTTCTAAAGGGACCCCAAGATGGGTCCTGCAGGCTGAGCAGGAGGCATTCAGGGAACTGGAGGTATGGAGGACTCACATCCCAGGCCAAAAATAGAGTGTATGGGGAAGGGGAGGCTGGGCACAGGGTGGCAGGAGAGACTGGTGACTTGGGCTTGGGCAGAGGGCAGGCTTCCTGCAGAAGCTGCACAGGATGCAATCTGCACCTCTGACGAAAATTATGTTAATGCAAGTTTGTTCTTTTCCTACCTGATGTTTTTCTTTGCTTCTTTCCTTCTTTTTTTTCCTCTTCTCTTCTTGCTCCTCTCCTTCTTCCTCCTTCTCTCCCTTCTTCTCTTCTTCTTCCTCCTTTTTCTTCTCCTCCTCCACCACCTCCTCCTCTCCCCTGACCCATTCTGCCTCTTTTTTTTCCCAGGAGAAAAGGCAGCAGTTTGAGGATGACAGCGAGGTTAACCTGGTCTACGAAAATCTCTAGGATGAGTTCTCCTAGCCATCAAGCCTTGACCTGCACCAGAGGCCCGGAGCAGCCCCTCTTGCCAAAGGACTCAATCTGAACCAGGAGCCAGGTCCCCAGGGCCGCTGCACCCCTCACTCTTACATGCAGGTCCCCTCTGCCTTGGGCGGCCCCACTCCTCCACTCTGCACCCCAGCCCAAGTGCCAGACTGCATCCTGGTCCATGGGCACTGCGAGCCCCAGGAGGACATGGCAAGGATCTTGTCAGTGCTGGGACTGAGCCCTGAGGATGGATCAGTGACTGTGTGGACCCCCATCTGGCCCAAAGGCTAGGTGGCCATGCCCAGTGAAAAGCGCGTGTGGGGGGCTATCGGAAGGGTGGGGGATGGACGGGAATGACAAGCCACACCCAGGCTGGACTGGGCTGGGGATGGTATGGAGGCCCAGGATGTAGCAAGTGAGACTGGCCCCGGGGTCCTGGGGTAGGGCGGTTGGTGTCTGTTGGTGAGAAGGGATCTTCTGGCGTGTTTGGGGTGGGGCAGAGGGTGCAGGGCAGCTGCTGCTACCCAGGAGCTGAGTGAATGACCTGAGGCTCTCCCCTTCCCTAACGATGAGCCCCAGGTTGTCACTGTCCCTGGGCCTGGCCTTCTGCACTCACGGTGCCACCCGCCTGTCACTCTGCTCCTCAGGCCTCCCCACCACAGGGCCCAGTCCCCCTAAATCAGTCCCCTCTGCCTGGCCAGTCCTGGCCCAGCACCTGCGCTGCTTCCGGTCCCCCTCCTGCTCAGACTTCACCTGCCTCAGCCCCCGACTCTGGAGTGGAGGTCAGGAGGGAGCCGGTGGCCACCAGAGCTGCCTTGAGGCCCTCCTCTCTCCCCGGGAGGTGCAGAGGTGTGGCTTGGTTGACACCTGAGAGGGGTGTCTGTGTTGCAGAAGCTTAGGCTGGGGTGGTCAGGGGGCTCCCCAGTGCCTGACCCCGAGCCTTCTGCTTTTCTAAGTGTCAAGTGACACCTCGAGGTGCATCCCACAGGGCTCAGCATCCCAGGCTATCAGGCTCCCTCCCTTTCTCCTCACCCTGCCTTGGCGTTCCCACTGTTTGTCCATCCGGAACCAGACAGCTCAGTCCTCCCTCCCCACCTCTTGAGCTGCTCCAGGGGTTCCTGGGGTACCTTCATATCAAACCCCAAATGTGCTCAGGGAGAGGGGGAACCGAAGCCACAGGCCTGAGCTCCCAGGCAGCAATGGACCACCAGCCCTCAGGCGGCATTATTTTATTTTTTAGATTTTTGGAACAGGGTCTCACTATGTAGTTCAAGCTGGCCTTGAAAGCACCATGTAGCCCATGTAGCCATGTAGCCCATGTAGCCCATGGCTATCCTCCTGCCTCAGCCTCCTGAGAGCTGGGATCACAGGCATGCGCCACCACACCCAGCTTGGGCAGCACCTTCTGCAGGGACAGGAAGGCAGTTTGGGGTGGGCATGGGCACAGACTGAATGCTGGAGGTTGCTGGAGCAGTCTACTAGGCTGGCACCAGGCCTTTCAGGACAGCCACGGGCTCCCAGCTCGGTCCGAAGCCCTGGCCTGTGAGCGTGCAGCAGAATGGACTCCTGCAGGCTGGGTTTAATCAACACCAGGCCTGCCTGGAGGACATGGAATGCTGCATGCAGAGCGGCCTTCCAAACTCCCAACTGCGGCAGCCAGAGACGGGGGCCAGGGTTGGTGAACACCAAAGCCAATGGACTAAGGGAGCCCCCTCCCATAACAACTTCCTCCACTTCCTGGGCCTCTCTGTCCTCAGCCCTTGGACTTTCTGGCCAGGACTAGGGCTTTTCCAGCCCTTGCCAGGGAAGTGAGGGGAATTGGATAGAGACTTTCTTGCCTGCCCTGGTCCAGGTTCCCCCACAATGGCCCCCAGCAGCTGCCCTGTCTCCACAATCTCTTCCTCACAAAGCATCCAGAGAGGATCTGGTCAAACCTCCCTGGAGACTCCCCTCTCTCCTCTGCTCTTCTGGGGTTCCTGCTTCATTCGGAAGAAAATCCCAGCTTCTCCTGGTGGCCAGTGAGGCTCTCGGGGACTGATCATCACCCTCTGCTGGATGCAGACAGTGGCAGCTGGGTGGCTGAGCCTGCTCCAGGGCAAGGCTGGGAGTGTGTGGATGCTGAGGGCTGCGGTGAAGGGTAGGGAGCAATGTGCTGGGGGCCACGGGGTGGCAAAGAAGACTGAGTACTCGGTCCCCAGCCCCCAGCACCGAAAGCCTACAGAGATGGGGGGGCTGCCAGTGGCATTGAGGGAGGAGGAGGGGACAGAGAGGGCTGGGAACTGAGCTCCTTGGGAGCAAGGTGATCACTGGGCTCCTCTTGGATCCCAGCTCCACTTCGCAGCAGCCACGTGGGCTTGAGCAAGTCACTGCCACCTGCACTTGGCTTGCCGTGACAGTCAGGACTGCTCCGGAGGACAGATGGGGGACTCCCTGGCACAGGCAGGGGTGTGTGCCTTCCCCAAGAGCCATCCTTCAGAGAAGTGGGCTGCAGGGGCAGAGGGGAGAGACTCTGCTAAATGGGGGGACAGGGAACCTCATGAGAGGAGGCCCAGGAGGTGCAGCCTGCTCAAGGGACAGGGCAGAGGGGGAGGGGTGCTGGACCCAGGAGCGGCCCTGGAAGGAGAGAAGCTAAAAGAGCTGGGAGGGTTCTTGAGGGGATCTGGCTGGGGCTGATGGAGCTTTGGACCTTCAAGGAAGGATGGATGTGACCATCCTGAGGGGGGACTTGGGCTTAGGACGCAGAGGAAGTCCCTGCAGGACCTTGTCCTAGGGGCCCACACACAAGCGGAGCTGGGCACCTCAGGGTCTTGGTGCTGCTTCTCTGGCCTCTGCCTGGTGGGGTTTCCTGGTGTCTCTCCCGGCCCCACCGGCTGTCCCTTCCTGAAGTCGTGTTCTGCCACGGCCTTGTCACCCACCTCAGGGCCTCTGAAATATTCTGATGACTTCTGCCATTCTCAGCCCCCTGCTTGGCCTCTCCCAGGAGTGGCAAATGGTAGACATAGATGGGCCCTCTCCACCTAGTCTCAACCTCCAACCCTCCCTTCCCTTCAAGCTCTGAACCTAGCCCCTCTTCAGCAGAATTTCCAGATGATTCTGTGCAGCTGAGTTTCCATGGGAACATGTGCCTGTCACTTCCAATTCTCGGTGGGGCTGGGGTTCCCTTCGCCGCCAATATGGTGGGACTTTAGTGGGTGACCTCAGCCAGGGCCAGCCACCACTCTTTGGCCACCAGCCCTCAACTAACCTGAAATCAAGTTACAAGCAAAACCTGCCCCCCCCCCATCTAATTTAAAGGCCTCGCTGTACTCTAAGGACACCTCTGGGATTTCAGGGATGGATTTTTATGTAGTTCAATAGTTTTCTTGGCAGATAGCTCCTCCAGGAGAGCTGGGTATTGCTTCAGCGCAGCCAGCTGAGCGGTGTCTCTCTGTCCCTACTGAACACCTGAGGGGCATTGCCAGCCCTGAATCCAGATTCCAGCCTTCAAGGCTCTGAAACACTTTTCTTCCTCCCTTCTCCCTTGACCTATGGTCACAACTATAGCCTCAGAGGCTTGGCTGAGGTCAGGCATGGGTCAGGCTATGCCCTCTGTGTTAACATGTGTTTTGTGTATATATCTAAGCAGGGGACACAGGCACGCACTATGGCAATAGGACATTTAAACTACAGCAAGGTGAAAGTCCCTCAGATGCACCTGCCACCTCCTGGCCTCCATCCCAGTCCCCTCCCCACTGGGTCACTTGGAGATGTTTTCCTCCTCGTTTTTATTGCATCTGTGTATGTATATGTGAACATACTAAATACAGGGTGTGTGTGGGATTTGTGTGGAGTTCTGAAGTGCTTCAGTGGAATCGCCCTGTGGGTGTTGTGTGCCCTGGCTTTGCTCATGCAGCCCCACGTGGTATGGACCTGTCCGAACAAGCCTGGAGGAGCCTCCAGACTCTCATTACAACAGACCGACAGATTCAAATTCAATCAGCCCCTGCCCATGGCCTCCTCAGGTGCTGATGATTTTTCAGTGCTGCGGGGAATGTCCTGGCACTCGCTTACCTGCACAGACACCTCTCCAAAACTTCCTGCACTGGAAAGAACAAGAAGGGATCAGAAACTGCCAAATTTTCAGGCACTGAGCGGAAAGAGCCACTGGGGAACTTGGTGTTCCCCGGAGTGGGGAAGCCCATGAAAGACAGATTTGCTTCAAAGGTGGCCTACAATCCTCATATTGCTCAAATCTAGGGTGTGTGTGTGTGTGTGTGTGTATGTGTGTGTGTGTGTGTGTGTAGTGGGGGTCTTCCTCCTCCAGTGGTTTATCTCCTTGGGAAATGGAGGCAGCTGAATGGAGGTCTCGGTGTTGCTCCAGCCTGCTGGTCCACACCGGCTTCGAGCCCTAATCCTGGCAGCCTGGATGTTTGGATCCCGAGTCTCCCCTGGAAATTCCCAGGCACAGCATGCCTGGAGGTGTGAGCCGCCACTTAGAAGCTTTATAATCCCGGATAATGCTGCTGTAATTGGCATTGTTCTGCCTTTACAACCCTCTCAGTACCTGGAAACTTACTTTACAAGTGCCTGTGTCTGGAGTGGGTTTTATTTTACCACTTGTGGACCCTGAGGCACTGAGGAATGCTAGTTTGTCTCTGTCCCCTGCCCTTGTCTACCCCAACCCTCATTCCCTAACTGGCACCCTATGTCCTGTGGCCCAGATTCTAGCAGCTGACCTCCCAGCCTTGGCTCAAGACACAGCCCTGTCCCTGGTCCCCCACCATGGGCCTGGGCTGATCCAGGGGCCGCTTTTCTCCCCAAGTCCTGCTCTTCCCCTCATCAAGCCCACGAGTCACAGCCTCCCTCCAGCCAGTCCACCTTCCAGCCCTTCCCGTCTCTGCACCAAATCTGTCTCTCCATAGCACACATCTGACTGTGTCTCTTCCCTCTCAAGACCCTGCAGCACCTCATGGTTATGGTCAGTTTAATGCCAAGATCATTCAATGAACCAGGCATTGTGGTGCACATCGGTAATCCTAGCACTCTGGGAGGCTGAGGCAGGAGACTGCAAGTTTAAGCCCTGCCTCTGAAATTTAGTTACTTAGCGAGACTCTGTCTCAAAAAAAAGTGGGGGGCTGGGGATGTAGCTCAGTGTAAAGGCCCTCCCCAGTACTGGGGGAGAAAAGGATCATTCAGTGAGGAAAGGACAGTCTTTTCAACAAATGGTGAAAGGAGAACTGGACATCCATGTGCCCCAGGATGACGCTGGACCTCACTGTGCCTTCCACTGTGCAGATCAAGGCTTGACCCTCTTTTCCAGACTCCAGCTACTACCACCTCTTCTCTCGACAACATTGGTTCAGCTCAACTACTCGCCAAGGCACCAGCTCTTTCCTGAGCAGTTCTCACAGCCCCAGAGTCACCCTAAGCCCCAGCCACAGCTGCTGTTCACCAGGAGGCCTGACCCTCTGTCTCTCAACCTGTGCTCTCCACTTTCCCTGCCTGACCCTCTGTCCTGTTCTTTGTCTGAAGAGTCCCACTCAAAGGCCACCACCTCCATGAAGACTCCCAAAGCCCTTGTCCCCCAGTGAGGCTTATATTTTCCTTTCCTCGTCTCCCATGGAATTGGCACACACATCCATCTCCCCCAGAGGCCCCAGCTTCCCCAGCATGGAGAGCACTGTATTTGTCTCTCTTTGTCTGTGCCTGGCTCATCTTCAGAGCTCAAGAGCCATTTGTTTGAAGAATAAATGAGTCCTTTCCTTTGTGGGCAGCTTCAGTGCCTGTTGTTGCTGCAAAGGGAGAATGATTTTTTTTTTCTCCACTTTGCTCTAATGAGCATGTGACCCATTTTACACGTGTGAACATTGAGACGGGGGAGAGGCTGCATCCATCCGGACAGGGAAGGCAGGAGGAGTGCGGGTTCTGAATGCAGCCTACTGCCTGGCCAGGAGGTGAGGTGAGGGCCCACCCCCAGCCCTGCCTGCCCGGGCTGCCAAGAGACTCTATGATGTGTGCCTACAGGGGCCAGGAGCTTGGTTAGGGTGGCTCTGCTAATTGATCCCAGAAACCCCTGTCACTGCCAAGGGATGCCTCAGTGGGCTTAGAAATGTCCTAACCACAACCTCCTCTCGCCTCACCAGATGGCCGCCCCTCCTGTCTCAGCTGCCTCTGGGCAAGGCCAGACAACACTGGTCTCTGGGGCCAACACCCTCCATGGAACCAGCAGGACTGAGCCCAGCCAGGGGCAGAGGGGGAGCCCTGGATAAGCCCCCCCTGGGGTCTCTCTTGTTCCAGCCACTGTTGGGTCACAGCCATCCCAGAGTGGCTGGATCCATGGGGGAGGCTCAGGGCTGCTCAGTCAGAACCCAGCTTCCAATGCCCCTGGACTTCCAGCCTCCAGTGGGTGGGGACCCTGATGTGGCATGCACGGGGGACGGAGCCAGGGGAGCTACTGGCTTCCGGCAAGACCAGGGTACACAGCTGATTCCCAGGAAGGAAGACACATTCTGGAGCCAAGCGACTGGATCCAGAAATAAAATTAGTTCTTGTGGTGCAAAGTGAGCCCAGAGCCTTCCCTCGGTCCTGTGGGCTGAGCTACCCCTGCCCCACAGGAAGAACCAGGGGAGCAGTGGAGGGCTGAGGAGGGAACGGCCTCGCCTGCATTATGAACCCCGAAGCTCAGGATATCCTGGCTTCATCCTGAGGTAAGACTGCACAGACTTTTCAGATGTTCCCTCCTACACTGCCCTGCTTAAGGGGACTCCTGTGGAGAATGGAGCTTCTTTATGGGGTAAAGAAAATGTCCTGGAATTAGATAGTGGTGATGGCTGTACAACTTTGTGACTGTGCGGAAAATCACTGAACTGTACACTTTCAAGGGTGAATTTTATGAAATGTGGATTAGATTTCAATAAAATGACACAGACACCAAGCAATGTCCTGTTGAAATACCTTCAGTGTCTACTGTCCATTATCCCTGGGACAGAGTACATGTGTACACACTCGCACACACTCGCACACACATCCCTGGGACCCGGCCCAGCACCTCTCTCCTCTCCAGCCTCCCCTGCCCAATCCCCTCTCCTCCTTCCTCTTTCCTTCCTATACAAGGGCCCTTCTGGAACCCCTCTCAAACTCCAGGTTCTGGCACAGGAATCTCCCCCTGCCTGCTAATTAAATACCTACTGTCTTATTTGGAGACAAGTACTGGTCCCATTTTACAGATGAAAAAACTGAGGCTCAGGGAGAAGTAGCTATTTGCCTGCAGCCATCTAGTTGGTGGATACAAGCCCTAGCAGTAGCTTTAGAACACATGCTCTGAACAACTTTGCTTGGTGGCCTTTGTGGTCCTCCAAGATGTCCACTTCCTAATCCCTGGAACCTGAGAATATTCCCTTATATAGCAAAGGCTTGCAGATGTGATTAAGACTCTTGAGATGGGGCGATTATCCTGGATTATTAGAATCACAAATGTTCTCATAAGAGACACGTGGAAGAAGATTACAGGCAGACCACGTGGTGGCAGAGGCAGAGAGTGAGGTCTGAAGATGCTACGCTGCTGGGTTTGAAGATGAAGGGGTGTAGTCAGTGTAGCTGTAGAAGCTGGAAAGGGAAATGAAATTCATCTCTTCAAAGCTTCAGAACGGGCTCTGAAGACACCTTCCTTTCTGAATATTGAAACTGTTTTGGATTTCCAGCCTCCAGAACTGTAGGAGAATAAATGTGTGTTGTTTTAAGCCATCACATTTGTAGTAATTGGTTACAGCAGCCACAACACACTAATGTGCTTTCCCTTCTGGGGGACCTCATCCACTCTCCTCAGGAAGTGCTCCTCAGCCCCTGGGCACTGGCTCGCCCGGCTCTGCTCCTTGGGGTTGCTTCTTCTGGACCCTGACCTTGGAGCTGGTCTGTGCCACAATCTTTGTCCTCACTCTGACCTTAGGTCTCTTCTCTTGCTCCCAGCACTGACCCTGCCAGGCTGGGATCACCAACAGTTGCCCATGGCAGGCACCAGCCCTGAGGCATCACAGGGAAGGAAACTGAGGCTTGCATACCAGCAGTGAATACCGGAGGTCATGCAGCTGGCCAGAGGCAGAGCCAGGAAGTGTGTGGCCCAGAGATGACCAGGGTGTCCAAACTGAAGGGCTTTTAAGAAAAGAGGGCATGGGCTGGAGATTTAGCTCAGTGGTTCCACCACCTGCCTCAAAAGTGCAAGGTCCTGAGTTTGATCCCCAGTACCAAAAAAAAAAAAGAAAAAGAAAAGAGACCACATCTGCTGCCACTGTCCCCGAACACCACTCCCAGAACCCATCTGGGCCCCCTGGAATTGGACCCTTCTTCGGTGAGCTCAGCTTTCAGAAACCCGATTGCAAATTCCAAACCAATAACAGCAAATAAATGAGGGGTGATTACTGACAATAGGAGAGGATACACAGCGGGGTGCCTCCAAATAGCATCTCCTCCAGTACGTTTTAAGTGCTTTATAGGTCATTAACTACTTGACAGAGAGAGCCTGACACTTAAAGCAAAGAATTTGGCGCCTCTGCCAGGGAAAATCAATCAGAAATGAAGATAGAGCATCAGCAGCGTTAAGATGGACCGGGTGGGCAAACGGGATTCGATTTACACATAATTTTAAGGCCCCTTTCCATTGTGTGAAGTGAGGCACACCGATATTTGAGGCCATTTGTAAATCCCAAACTAGAGTTTAGGAATACATAACCTCACCCCTGTCATTTTTTGTCATTGATGCTGATGAAATCTTTCAAAGACATGGACCGGTACAGAGAGACAAGCTGAAACATCTAAGTCCACCACCCAACTCTGTCCAATAAAGCATTTTGGTTATGATGGAAGCATCTATTTTTAAAAAATGCTCTTTGGTTTTCCTTCCTGTCTTTGCAAATCCTTTCTGTCTTCTGGCCCCACCTTGTCAGGGAGACCTAAGCTGACCACCCAACCCTGCCCAAGACATTGCTCCTGCCTCTGAAATTGGAGTGCAATTACTGCCTCTTTAATTAACTTGGCAATTAATCACCAGCTGCTTGTGAAATAGCTTTTATTGTCCTTGTCCATCTCAGGATGTAGTGGGGAGGCTGGGGAGGGGGTGGGCAGGCAGGGCTATCCTGAGGGCAACACGCTGGGCAGGGTCCCTTGGAAGGGCAGGCCTGAGGAGGGCTGATATCCAGAGGGCTGCCTTCCTCCTGGCTCTGTTCAGACAGCTGCCAGGTGCCAGGATCCTAGATGGGTTGGAGGTGAGCCAGATAGGGCAGTGGGAAGCCAGGAAGGAAGTTGCCCCCAGGTGGCCTTGGGGCTGCTGCTCTTACTGCTCTCAGATCCCAGTGTTCTTGCCTCACTGAGCCTTGTGGGTTGAAAGATACATTTCCATAGTCCTAACCGTGGGTACCTGTGACTGTAACCTGATTTGGAAATGAGGTCTTTGCAGATATACTCAACTTAAGATGAGGTCACACTGGATGAAGGTGGGCCCTAAATCAAGCAACTGGTGTCCTTGTAAGAAGACCATGTGAAGTCACAGGCATGGGGGTGAGGGGCGCATTCCTCAGCCACAGAGCCAGCCCCTCGCTGCTTGCCTGACTCACTGCCCACTGTATAGGAGACAGGATCTCAGACATTTTTCTGGTGAATTAACCTTCCCCAGCCCAACTCTAGAAGCAGCTCCCACATCTTCCTCTGCCAGAGGAAGCCCTCTCCCCCATCCCACCTACGACACCACCCCTCACTCCGAAGAGCCTGCTCAGGGGATTCCCAAGGACATCCCCACGGAAGAACAGCATCCTTGCTCAACCCGGTTTGCTGGGCGATCGCGCCTGCGGCTCTCCCTCCCCCGCCCATCTGCCCAAACTGTCGGATTGGCAACTGAGCCTGGGCGCAGCAGCGCGCTTCTGACTTCCTTTGTAATTTGGGGAGTGGGGGCTTCCCGAGGAAAGACGAGGGCCCAGCACACTAGTAGGAATTTAGCATGGAGGCAAGGACTGTCTCACTGATACCGCCAAGCACAGTGCTAGGTACAGCTCATTCACTGAAATAACTCATCTTGTAACCTATTTTCCGTTCTAATCCAACATTCTGATACACGAGTAACAGGCTCTGACAGCCCTCAGGCAATGACCGTGTAGGGACCCCAAGCCAGAGGTGGTGGCAGCTCCTCGTATCAGCTCAATCACTCCCAGGGGACGGCAGCTCAAATCTTGGTTTCCCCACTCTAGAAGAGGAACTTCCCAGGGATACTGCAACAATAAAGATAGCTCTAAAAACCCACAGGCATATTTGCCACCCATTCAATCAACAAACCTGTTTCGAGCACCTACTACATCCCAGATCCTGAAGGTACACTCAGCAGTACAAACCCAGGGTCCCAACCTCAAGGTGCTATTTGGTAGAAAACAAAGAAACGCAGTTAGCACCCGGTGCAAGCGTTATAATGGGTAGGAACGAAGCAGAGATGAAAAGGCTGCAGAGTTCAGGAGGACCCCAGCAGCCGCAAGAAAGAAAAGGTAAAGAATGAAATCTGCAAACCACTACGAGCAAGAGCTGAGCCCTGCTTCCTCTCAGCCAATTAGGCGTCAGCATCGCCGGCCGGCCAACCAATCATGAGCTGGAATTGAAGGCTTAGTCGCAGGCCACGGTTTCCCGGGAGGGCAGCCAAGGCCGGTGCGCCCCGGCCCCACCCCGCCCAGTCTCCGCCCATCTCCGCCCATCTCCGCCCTGTCCCCGCCCCAGGCCACGCCCCGCGTGGCCGGCGCCTGCCTGGAGCCCCGGGGCGGGCGGCCGGCCTGGGGGCCGAGTATTGTCCTGAAGGCCGAAAAAGGCGGAGAGGGGGCTGCGGCCAGCCACGTGGCGCAGGAGGATTTATAACATTTCCTTTCCCCAACCACAACACCGCAAAAATGTGTGAAAGAGAGGACTCCGCCAGGACCGGAGCGTGAGGCACGGACGAGGTAAGCAGTCCCGGGCCAGCTGCGCCCGGGATGGGGTCCCCGGAGAAGGGCGCGCGCGTCACCCCGCTCAGCGGTGGCTGCGTCCCGGGTCGCTCCCTTGGAGGGTTGCGTGCGCGGTGAGCGCCGTAGACGCGGCTGCAGAGCACTGGCATCGCCGGTGACCCGGGGACTCCCGAGATAGTGTAGACGCGGTCCCCTAAGCTGGGACGTCTTCAGCGATCTGACGGTTGTCCGGGCGGTGTGGACGAGCCTAAGTGGTGCGGCTGAGGCATCTCCGAAATCTGTGGTAACGACTGATCCCCGAGGCTGGGGTTGGCAGCCCCGGTAACTCGCGGCTGGGGAGCCCTTGGAGACCCGATGCTAAGACGGAGGCACCCCCCGGCGATCTGGGGACCAGTGAGGCAGTGGAGACACGCGCTGGTGGTGGAGGCGCCGCCTAGAACCCCAGCGGATGTAGACGCCGCGGGTCCCAGGTGCGGAAAGTTTGCTTAGTGCCTCCCGCCGGCTTGCGGGGAGGAGGGGGTCGGGCGCGCGCGGCTCCCGCAGGGGGCGAGATGGCGCCACCTTCCCAGGGCAGAGGCGCCCCCCGCCCCTCGCCGGTGGGGGTGGGCTTCCGTGCCCCAGATTCAGCTGCTGGAATTCTTGTGCCTTCTTCCAGCCCCTGGAGCCCGGTTGGGAGAGGGTTGGGGAGGCTGTAAATCTGGTCCAGAGGGGATTCATTTTTTGCGTCTTTTGAACCGGCTCACCAAGTACCTGCTCCGTCCTGCTCGTGCCTGAGGTGTCTCCATCTTCCCCGTGGGCAATCTGAGAGGCAGAGGGACCATTTGGGGTCCCATCTCACTCTGGAAATCAGGGAGCTATCACCTGCCTTCAGGTTCCTTTTTTCCTTCCACCTGTCCCAGTGAGGAGGTTGGAGTTAGGCATGGAGGGGTGCAGAAGGGATGGGGGTGGGGTGTGTGCAGGGAGGCTCTGGAAGGGCCCTGCATCTACTTCCCACTGCTCCCCGGCTTTCAGTGGTCCTGCAGCCCTGGGCCAGGGAATGAATGGAGGCAGGAAAGTAGTAGCAGAATGCTGGGCAGGGGATACCAGTGGCCACCTACTCTGTCCGAAGCCAGGGGTGCTGTGCCTGGGCAGAGGAGCTGAGGCAAGGTATTATGTGGCACTCTCCTGTAGGGGAAGGAAGACCCGCTAGTCCCGCCAGACTTTGCCAAAGGGGAGGGCAAAAGGGAGCCTGTTTATAGGTGGGGAGATACCTGTGTGTCTAGGGTGGATCTCAGGTTCAGTCCCACCTCCCATTACTTTCTGTGCTCTGCCCTATTCCCATGCCCACACCCTCCTATCTGTGAGCCCTGCTGCCCCCCGGGACTTTGCATGTCTTGTGTATGCTTTTGATGAAAAAATATCCATCAAGCAACTACACCTACTATGTGCCAGGCATGGACAACTCAGCAGGGAATAAGACAGACCTTGTATCTTTTTCACAGGGCCTCCATACCACCGCAGGGACTTAGTGACAAACAGCACATAGTCAGCAAGGGGACAGTGATTTTCGGAGTGGAGTCGGTCAGAGGTCTTTCTGCAGGGGTGATGGTGAATCCGAGACGTTAATGCTCCTCATCCCCAGGGCCAGTGTCACCCCCTCCAGGAAGCCCTCCCTGGCTTAACACCTCCACCCTGATGAACCCCCACAGCCTGGGGTCCGCTCTGCACATGGACAAATCTTGTGCCATTAATTGGTTAATGTTTGTCTCCACCATCAGGTGTGACTGCCGTGAGGGCAGGACCTGGATCTCTTTTGGGTGGGCAAATTAAGGATGGGTAGGATTTCCCCAGAAAAACAGGAGCTGCTCAGCCTGGCCAGATGTCCAGATGGCAGAAACTTTTCTTTCCTCTTCCCTGGCCCAAGGCCTGGGCTCCACACCCCATTTGCTGATGGCAGAAACCAGCAGGTGCAGTGAGGCAGGGAGGGGAGAGCTTGGCACGCACAGCCCACAGCAGCACCAAGGCTGCCCACTGGGAGAAGAGTGGGTCCCCGGGAAGCCTGGGGACTGGCCTGTCCCTATCCCTCTATCCTAGCTCCTGGAAGCTGCTCACTTCTAGAGCTAGTCCAAGAGGTGATGGCCAGCAGGTACAAGGCCACAGTGACTCCCTTGCCTCCCCCAGTCCTAGGCAGGCAGGACCCTGGCTGGCACCTGCTTGGCCCAAGGTCAGCGTCTGGCCCCTAAACAGCTGCTCAGGTGAGCCACAGCTCATTGAAACTCCTGGCTCCAAAGATGAATCCAGCTCAGAGGTACTAACTTCTTTTTATTTTTTGTGGCTTCCATACACAGTGAATTTTTCCCTCCCCTGGCTCTGTCAGACCTGTGCGCCTGGCACCGCTCCTGTGGCAGATTATGCTCTCTCCGATGCCTGACAAAGCTTTTATCACGTCCCCCTCCGCCCCGCCCCAATTCAGGGGATTGAGCTGCCACCACACACAGCTAGAGAGACCAGCTCCATGCTTTATTCAGGCTCTGGCAGGGACAGAATAAAAGCAGCCTCCCCACCCACCCACCCGGCCAGCCAGCCCTCCTGCCTGGAATGGCTTTAAAAAAAATTAATTTGCAATGATTTACTCCCTTCTGTTCTGTGGGGATCACCAGCATTTTAAATGTGTATTTAAATCAGATTCACTGCTCCCAGTTCAACCTCAACTGCCTCCCCCCGTCCTAGCAGAAAGTGTTGGATTCAGAGTCAGGTGACTCAGAAGTTCAGGCTAAGTTCTGCTAATGACAAGCTGTTCAACCTTGGGCAAATGACTTAACCTCTCTGCTCCACCATTGGCTCCTCTGGACCCCGAGGTTAATGGTAATCCCTCCCTCACAAGGGTGTTGTGAGGATTAAATTAGAGAACCTTCAGGGAAGAGCTGGGCAAAGCAAGACCTGTGTTTTCTCTTTGCCGATACGGCTGTCTCACTAATTAGCCTGGTGACCTTGGGCAGGCCACTCAGCCACCCTGGCCTCAATTTCCTCATCTGTCAAACATAGGGGTTGTTGTAGGAAGTGAGGGCATAGAGCCCAGGGCCCCTACTCATCTCCTCCTGTCCTCTGCCAGACGCTGTCCCTTCCGTGGTCACCTCTGAACGCTTGGTTTTAATTGGACTTGTGCCCCTCCTCAGGCTCTCTGTGCAGTCACAGGGTTGTGGCCCTGAGGGGCTTGCAGTTCCTGGCTCATTTTCAGGGGCAATTAGCTGTGATGTCACAGGTCTAGGTGGCGGCCTCCGTGGGGCGCATGGCCAGGCCACCAGGAGGCCAGGACCCTGCCTGTCTGTGGCGTGGGGCTCCCCAGTCCTGGGAAGTCCCCACTGTGGCAGTGGGAGGCGGGCTCCGCAGCAAGGCCGTACTTTACGACTCCTCGAAGCCGAGTGTGAGCGTCAATTAGTTCTACCCTGTGCCTTTGTTGGCAATGTCGGTGCCTTGGAAGCGAGGGGCTTTGTCAGGAAGAACAAAGCTGTTCCGTGTTCTTCTGATTTGGGGGAGGCGGGCTCCTGGGGGAGTCTTCTCTCTTCTCTGTCAGCCGAAGACCTTGTTCCCAGACTCACTGGTTTTGTTTTGGGTTTTTAAGCCCCATGGCTTGGGAGTCACATATGTTTGTGTGCGTGTTGGCTGAGGATTTTTTTCTCTTCCTTTTTGGCTTGCATAGTGTATTCTGGGGAAGCTAATTTCAAGCACTGAACTTTTGAAATCACTGTTTCAACAGCTTTTAAAAATCTGGACCTAGTTACTCCTGTCATCCGTGTGTAAAGATTTAGAAAAAAATTCCCAACCTGGGGGTGGGCAGCCGAAAGGTTGTGCGGCTTCTGGCAGCACACACTCGCTGCAGACCCGAGGTCAAAGCCAAATGTCGAGCGCCTCCTGGGACGGGAGGGGGGGCATGGTCTGTGCGGTGCCAGACATCTGGATATGGAGAAAACATCTGGGTGGCTGGGCTTTTCAGGTTCTGCCTGACATTTAATATCACAAACACGGAGCCTGCTTCTCTTCCCCGCCTCCCCCCCCCCCCCCCCACCCACCAGCTTCTCCTCCCAGACACACCCAGCCCCCCCCCCCCTGCCTGATGGGTAAGAAACATTCATTCTTTCCAATTCCCCAGCGTTTTTCCCCTACCGGAAATCTGATGGGCTTATGACATCATGGCTGGCTGCTGAGCGATGAAGTAGATGCCACAAAGAAACCGGACTTATCAGATGAATTCGGAAATCACTTTCCCTCTGGCTGGAGGAGCAGGCGCGAAGTCAGGAGAATTCCAGCTTTGTTAAAAAAAAAAAAAAAAAGAAAGCAAAACTAAGTCTTGCCCTTAAAAACAAGCAAACCATTTGGACATCATCCTATTTTCATAGAAATGCTGGGTTTTATGAAACAAAAGTGGCCAATAAATCGGACCTGAAGCTTCCTGTGGCTGTTCTGTTTCTGTTGACTGTTTTTGTGTCCTTATTCACTAATAAAGGAAGAACTAGGGAAGGTTTCTCTCTCTTCATTATTCAAATGAGATTGCTTTTTTTTTTTAGGTTAATACAATTCACAGGGTACATTGCTGGTTTATGTTTTTCCAGGAATCTGCTTTTATGGAGTGACCTTGGACCTGCTCCGGTCAGTAAACATTGCATTTCCCTCTCCTGGGTGTCTGACCTGATGCCCTTAGGAGGTAGCAGCCTGGTCTGCTCTTTGGTCTCCTGGCCAGGCTTGAGGGCTGGGGGTGACTGCGTGTCACCAGGCAGGGCTGGGGACCTGTGGACCAACAGACTTCTTGGATGAAAAACCTGTTTGAAAGGACAGTGGGAGGGGAACAGAAGTAAAGGGACCAGTGACACAAGTCTCAGAGCAGCCTAGAAGGGGGATCCATTGTCTCCCCCCTCAAAAGGGAGCAAAAAGGAAAAAAACACACCAGGCAGAGGGGGCCTTAGTGTCTACCTCACCCCTGCAGCTCACTCAGGTTTAAGGAAGTTCAAGAGTCTCTATGAGCCAGATCTGGAGGTATACACCTATAATCCCAGAACTCTGGGAGGCGGAAGCAGGAGGATTGCAAGTTCAAGCCCAGCCTGGGCAATTTAGCAACTTGATGAGACTCTGCCTCAAAATAAAAATTTTAAAAGGGCCTGGGGATATAGCTCAGTGTGAAGGTCCTGGATTCGATTCCTAGTACCAGGGGAAAATCTCCATGTTATGCCTGCCAAACCCCAGCACGGGCCTTTGGAATCTATGACCTGGTCTAAAGTTCCGCCTGTTCCACCTCCAGTTTCTTTCTCTGCACACAGGCCTGGTGACCCCACTGTGCCACTCAGCTGGGAGCACCCCAGGCCACTGCCCACGTTTGCATCCCAGCTCTGCCTCCTGCTCTCCACATGACAGTCTGTGCCTTGCTTTCCTCATGTGTCAAACCGTAATGGCAGTAGCCCAACCTCCGCCACGAGGAGAGGACTGCTGGCTTTAGAAGGGATGGGGCAAGTGCTTCCCGGCTCAGCTGTTGCACGTATTCCCTGAGCCCACAGGCAGGCTGGGGAGCCCTGGGCCAGGAGGGGTGTGTCACACTGAGCCTGGTGGAGGACAGTCAAGCACATCTCATCCTGCTGCACAGAGCTTTCCTCTCCATGCTGCCCAGAAGAGTCAAGTCTGCCTGTTCCTCCTCCTCTTGCTTGCCCACCCATCAGCAGCACACGCTTTCTTTGGATGCCACTCCAGGGGGCAGGTCACGCGCACTGAGCACCTGCCATCACTCCTTCTGTGCCTTTTATATGGATTAATTTGATTCTCACACCAATCTGCAAATGGAGGGGTTATTATTTTTTTTCTTTTGTACTGGAGATTGAACCCAGGGCCTTTGCACTGAGCTGTGTCCCCGGCCCTTTTCATTTTTTATTTTGAGACAGGGTCTCACTAAATCACCAATCCTCCTGCCTCAGCCTACCAGAGTACTGGAATTACAGGTGTGCACCACCGTGCCTGGCTAGCTGTTCCTGTTTTATAGGAGCAGCAACGGAGACCCCAGTATCTTGCCCGAAGTTCCAGATCCCCAGTTGGAACCAGAGTGGGCTCTGTGTCTTTCTCTTCCTGTTTCCCATCTCAACCTGAAGCAGGAGCAACTGCCTGCCCATCACGCCCATTGCTGTCGGCCAAGAGGTCTTCCCACGCTCTCCTGCTGTGATACACCTGGGCAACACTAGCAGTGCTGCACATGTCTCTCGGGTGTGGCTCTTCATGGTTGGCCCTAGGCCCCTTGTCCACTTCTTCTGGCAGCCAGGAGCTAGGCTGTGGCCACTTTTGTGTCTCCCAGGCCAGCAGGCATTTCCTGAGGACCTACAATGTGGCAGGGCATGGGGACTTGTGAGTCAGCTGCCAAGCCCACTCTGCATTTTCCTCTCAAACCCCAGGCCCATCCTGCCGGCGTCTGCTACATCTCCACGTGGGTGGACAGCGGGCAGTGCCACCTTTGGGGGTCCTAAACAGCTCCTGAAGGTCAACCCTGAACCTGCCCAACCCCAGCCTCCCCACCCCACCTCTTTCTGCTTGCTTGCTTAGGCCTAAACCTTGGGGTGCTTGACTTTGCTTTCTCTCTCCCACCCTATTTCATCCATTGGCAAATCCCATTGGTTCTACTCTCAGAATGTGTCAGCACTTTGGACTCTGGCCTCTTCACTGGCTGTCTGCACGGTACAGCAGCCTCTCCGCAAGTCTCCCTGCTCGATTCTCAACCCCAGAACCCACTCTTCACAGAGTGATCCCCTGAGAACTCCAGTCACATCCCGCTCTTGTCTGCCCACAGCCCTGAAGTAGCTCCTGACTCCCACAGGGCCAGAGCAGAGTCCTGCCTGTGACCCTAAGTTGTTCCCTCACTGTCCTCTGCTCCTTTCACCCCCATTTGCCCACTGATCCCCTTGCTATTCCTCTAATATACTGTCTGTATTCTGACCTCAGGACCCTTGCACTTGCTGTGTCCTCCCTAATACACTTGTTCCTCTGATATTTACATCTCTCCCTCTTTTGCTTCCTTTACCTGCTCAGACAGACCTTTCCTTACCACCCTCCTCCATCCCTTTCTACTCCATGGCTCTTCATAGAGACTTAACTCTTGACCTTGTGTCACTAGATTGGTCACCTGCGTCAGAGCAAGGCTCTGTCCATCTTCTCACTGCTGTTTTCCAGTCTCTAACACAGGGCAGGTGCTCCACAAATGTGCTGAAGGGAAGGATGGATGGATGGATGTGGGGCAGGTAGCAGGTGTTGGACATCTGGTCTGGGCTGGGTTCTGTGCTGTGTACTGAACACACCCCTTGCCCCACCCACAGAGCCCTCGCTTCGGGGGAGCTGGTTTGGTTTGAGAATAGTCTTGGGAAGGAAGTGACCCAGCCAGGTGGAGGGGGCTTCCTAAAGAAGGGGGCTTTTGTGGGGGAAGCTGAGAAGTGCTGAGGACTTGCATGGGGGCTGAGGGTCTGGTGGCCAAGGGGACGGTGAGCTCTAGGGATGAGGACAGGGCCTCAAGGTCAGTAAGATCCAGGTAGGTGGAGAGACAGGCAGGTGGTCAGGTATGGGCCAGGGCCCCTGGGAGGGGAGGTGCAGGGCATGTGTGTGAGGCCCTAGGTGTCACCTGGAAGGATGTCAGGGTGAAAGCAGAGGCCTAGGCTGGGATCTCAACTCTCCTCCAATCATGTGTTTCTGGACATTCCCTTCCCTTCTCCAGGCCTCAGTTTCCCCTTGGAGAGACTGGACGCTTGACCCCGTGCCTTTCCTGCTGCACTGTCCTGGTCACCAAGAGACTGAGAATGTGCCTGGAGGAGTAGAGGCAGAGAGGAACCTGCCTGGAAGTAGGCGGTGCACAGAGGGAGCAGAATGTGCAAAGATCTGGGCCCCTTCTCTTGGCCCTCTTCTCCCACCAGGCCAGCCTCACTCTGGTGAGACCACAACCTTCTGCACAGGCAGAGTGGGCCACATTGCTGACAAGTGGCCAGTGAAGGGCTTGAACCTAGATCTGCCTGGCCCCAAGCCCTGCTGTCCTTTAGCGCAACTGAGCCACATGCCAGGGGTAGAGAGGAGAGCTGGTGTCAGGTCCGGGAGAGACAGGATCCTACAGATGATGGCTTTGAGTCTGTCAGGCTCACCAGTCCCGGCCCCTGAGGGGGAAACCCTCTGAGCTCTTCTCTTGGCTGGAGCTTCTCTGAAGACTCTGGATGCTTCTGGAACGTTCCTGAATCCTCACAACCACCCCTTACAGCAGGGGCCGTGGTCCCTGTTTTACAGCTGGAGAAACTGAGGCTCAGAGAGGAGCAGGTACCTGTGGGAGGCACACTGGCCACCTGGGATGTCCTGCTGAGGACACCTGCCGTGTTCACTCTCTGGAGTCTGCCTTGGGGACACGGGGGCTCATTTGAATTGAGTGAAATTATACTTACTTGAATAATTTTTTTTCAGTGCTGGGGATCGAACCCAGCACCTTGCACACGCTAGGCAAATGCTCTCTATGGAGCTACACACCAGCCCTTGAATAATTTTTTGAGATTGTATCAAAAAACTGTATTTTCTGAGAGGAAGCCAGGTAGGCTGGTGGGGGAGAAGCAACATGGCTAGAGCAGTGTGAGAGGCAGGGCTCCAGCCTAGAGCTGTAGGGCTCCCAAGTCAGTCCACATTCTCTGTCTGTGCTCTGCGTTCCCTGGGCAGGGAGTGGAGGGAGCCTTGGCTCCGGAGCCCTGGAATATGAAGCAGGGGCACAGATCCAGGCCCAAACCTGACTCTGTTCCATGTCTTTGCACGTTCCCTTCCCCCTGCTCACCCTGCCTTTCCCGCAGACTCCCCTCTACTCTTCTGCCTTCTCTGTGAGTCAGGGCAGTGCAGCAAGAGAGGCACATGCCTGAGAGTCCAGCGGGCCTGCTTTCCAATCCAGTCCCGCTACCGTTGAGCCTGGAGAGGAGAAGAACAAAGGGAACAGCATGCCAACAGGGAACAGCATAGGTGAAGGCAGGAAGGTATGAGGGCCTCTGGGAGCTGCGTTGGCTCGGGGTAGAGGCAGAGTTTGAGCAAAGGGGAAGAGGCCTGGATTGGGTTGTTCTTCCCCCACTCTGGGCTATGACCCAGGCTGTCCTCCCTGCCTGGCCTGTCTTTTCTTTTGTCCCAGCCATTAAGTCCCCACTGTATGATGTTCCTGCCAGTCCTTTCCTGATCCTCAACACTGCTCCTTCCCAAGTTCCCACTACCCAGTATGCTGCCTCGATCTGAGCAGGCGAGACCTGGATAGTATAGGTTTCTGTCCTGTGCCAGTTCTGCCCTTGCCCTCTGGGTGACCCTGGGCATGTCACTTCACCTCTCTGTTTCTTTAGCTTCAGGACAACCATAGCAGCTCCTGACTCAAAGGGCTCTCTTGGGGATTAAATGAGTTGTGCTTCTAAAGCTGCAAAGCAAGCCACCTCAGA